TCAACTGGCTAAGGCGCCAGCCACATACACCTAAGGTGGTGGGTTCAAATCCAGCCCAGGCCCACCAAAACAACAATGATGGCTGCAACCAAAAAAATAGCTGGGCATTGTGGTGGGTCCCTGTGGTCCCAGACTTGGGAGGCTGAGGCAGGAGACTCACTTGAGCCCAGGAGTTGGAGGTTGCTGTGAGCCGTGATGCCACAGCACTCTATCCAGGGGGATAGCTTGAGGCTCTGTCTCAAAAAAAAAAGAGAACTGCAGAAAGATGAGGCTGTGTTTGTGTTTTATTCCTGAGCTGTGTGCAGAGCAAACGGATGACCTGCCCCACATGGCGCAGTGCCGTGGAAGGCGAGAGAAATGACCAGATGTTGTTGAATAGAATAATAAAAAAATCAAAGCCATCAGAGGCTGATGTAAACAATTCCAAGATATCTCAGGACTGGTGCTAAGGCATTTCATCACTATTTAAATGCAACTGTCTTGTCACTGATGATGAAATCATATCACATCTAAGCAATCATTGATGTCAGAGTTGATGAAATCCTTCAAGTGACAGATCTAGTTTTAAACCCAAACAAGCCAGCTCTCAGGGTTTCACTCACATCTGCTGCACTCCTGGCTTTGGTTATCTTTATGGGAAAACATTAGCAGGTGTAAAATGTTTACAAATCAAGGCTCAGCATCCATGCTAAGCGGTTAGAGCACTGGGCACATGCACTGGGCCTGGTGGGTTCAAACTTGGTCTGGGCTTACTAAACAACAGTGCAGTGACAACAATAACAAAAAAAAATAACTGGACTCTGTGGCAGGCACCTGTAGTCCCAGCTACTTGGGAAGCTGAGGCAAGAGAATCACTTAAGCCTAAGAGTTTGAGGAGGGCTTAAACTCTGCAGAGGATGACATAGTGAGATTCTGTTTAAAAAAAAGTTTACAAATCAAATTTTAGAACACAGCTTGGTGGATGGCTTCCTTACTACATGCTTACGGCCATATTTAAAGCAGAATCTCCTCCCAACTTTGAATACCTATGGCTTTAATTAAAATCTATTTTACGTTAGCCATAATTGATCACCCCATTGATCCACCAGACAGTAGCAGGTTGTCCTGTGTTTCATTGGGACACAGGGTCATTGAGGAAATGCTTACAGTAATCAAGATAATTACAACTATTGGGGTTGGTGGAGGTGCAATGAAGAGTTCCCCTCTTCCCTCCTCTAACTGAGAGCTACCTGAGACATCACTACTGGTGTCAAAAATGGGGATTAAAACTTTAGAACAGTGATTCTTGATGAGAAGACACAGTGTGTCCATGATAGAAGTGCTCACAGGTCACCCCAAATGTGTGGACTTTCTACCTGGCCCTGAGCCACAGTGGAACAGTGAGGGGCTGGGTCATGACTGCATGACGAGAGAGGATTAGAATGCCTATATTTTGTAAATAGGCTGGTTTTGGAAGGAGAAAGACAAAAATGACTGAGTTAAGCATTCTCGCTTCTGCCTCTATAACTCATACTGCTGCACCTGGGGAGGGCTGGCAGAGAGAGGGGAGGAATTCCCCAGGAGGACCACTCTACAGGAGATCCCTTCTCATGAAAATTGAGGCCTTTGGAAGGGAGGGCTCACTTAATTACTGTGAGCATGAATAATGACACCACCAGGCAGATTTTTCATGTTTAGAATTTCCATCATTCTAGCCTAGGCCAGAATCAGTGAACTTGGCTAAATGGTGAGGTTGCATTTAATGTGCTCATGGATCAGTCCTCTGTGTCTAGAATCTCTTTCCATAGTTTACAGTTGATTGAATAACATCCATTGGTATCTCTGCCTCATTGACCTTCGTTGCATGTACCATCTGTAAGAACAACCAGAAGGTGTTGTTCTATCCCAGAGCCAGCATTTTATTGTAAAATGTTGGAGAGCTCAGCTATGAAAACTTTTGTCTTCTCAATGCCAAGACTTTTCATGAAAAATTAGTTCAATCCTCTGAATATTTTGGCTGCATGATGACAGATATCTAGATATTTTAAAGATATTTAAATGTCATCAACCTGCAAGTCTGAGTTCATCCAGGTCGATTTCTATCATGTTGCTATAAGTCAGTATATTCTGGACCTAACTTTTCGTTTTCAAATAATCTCATAAAGTATGTCTTCTCTGTGAAGTTATATGTGGGGGGTCATTATAAAATATGTAATTAATTGCCTTTTCATAAATAATATTCTAACAGGTACATTTTATTTTTTGTGTGTATTTTTTAAAAATTTTGTGCATTTGCCTAAGTAGTGTCTTTTTTGTTAATATGGTGCTGAATGTGTGGAAGATCCATCATAAAAGCCTATGGATTTGTTAATCATTTCAGGAGTGAATCTCAAAGGAGATGGTGGGCTTTCAGATGCAATTCCATTTGTTTTTATTGCTTTATTCTGAACCTTAGGCTGGTAGATTCTGGCCATCCTAAGCTACTTGAACTGAAGATAAACTTAGTGCTAGTATTATTTTACCCCTGCAAAATAAAAATATATAATCATCTTACAACTATTCTTAATTACAACTTCATATTGTATGTTTAGCATGTTTCTGGATTTGTAGGGATGAACAGCTGGACTTGGGAGATAATTGGCAGGGAGGTCCAAGTGTTCCCCACTGTAGAAGGGTATATGGCTCACGCCCTCCTGGTGAGCAGCCCTGTAGAGCCCATTTGGAGACTAAGAGAACTAGAAGACGCCTGACTTGGTGTGAGCAGATGGGAGTCAATCCAGGGAGAAAATCCTAGCTGGAATTCTTCTGAGCTGTTCCCTGTGCCTTTTACTTTAAACTGCTGTCCAGGCTACATTTTGACCAAGGCTGGTCTCGTTGCTCTTTGCTTTCCTCACCTAAATGTGTGGTTGTGCATGTCCACCCTCATGATGTCCTCTTTCTCAACCCTCCCCTCTCCTCCCTTCAACTCCACCTCCTCCTCCTCTTTGGTGACTCCAGAACTTGTCTGTGTCCATTTATTTCTCCTACAATGTCTGTTCCACTCACCTGTCTACACCACACAAGCACTCTTTTAGATGCATGACCTTCTTTGCTGTTCCACTTGAGCCAGGAACTAGCCAAGTGACCTAAAGCAAGCTATGGTCATAATTTCCAAAGACTTCAGCTTTCTCACCAGGGAAATGGTCTCCAGAGACAATTCCTACTTTGAAATGTGTACCCTCTGAGAGCATGCATAGTGCTAAAACCTGGGACAATAAGTGAGCGCCTCCCACCTACAACCACTCCCTGGTGCAGACACAGTTGTTTGGCTTGATTCACATCTGCTGCTAGTTCTTCTTTTGGCTAACTTTGTGCTTTTCTTTTTTAGGGCTGGGAGAGGGTTCTGCTCTCCTTCATCCAGACAGCAGATCCCATCCTAGGTCCTTAGAGAAAAGTGCCTGGAGGGCTTTCAAGGAGTCACAGTGCCATCACATGCTCAGACATCTCCACAATGGTGCACGGATCACTGTGCAGATGCCGCCTACAATCGAGGGCCACTGGGTCTCCACTGGGTAAGAGCAGCAAGGGCAGGTGGGATCCCAGAGGGGCCAGAGAGCACACTTCCATGGAAGACCATTCCTTTGGGTTCCAGATGCATAGAGACTTTATATAATCTACAATGATTTAGGTGTTGTCTCACTAAGAACCAAACCACTCTTTGAAATTATGGTTAATTAAGAAACAGAGCTGAGTACTGTAGAAATCTTATGCTGGGGCAGAGATGATATTGTACCTCTGCTCACCTCATGGTAGGAGTGAATAGATCCTTGTTTACTGAGCTCTGTGGGACCACTTGTGTTTAAAAAGAAACCATTAGCAAGTGAAATTAAGAATCTGTGTTTCACCAACGCTGAAACATGACTTGCAAGCTTCTTATGGGATAAATATTCTAGCCATATTCTGGTAATTTAATATATAGCTTTAGAGTTCTAAGAGTAAGTTAAAAGCTACCTCTACTAGCCAGGGTGTAGTTCTTGGGTTCTTTTCCATGCTGTGAAGCTGAGATTTATCCTAGTTTGAGCTCTGGCTTATCTTCCATTAGAGCTTTTAAAAATAGTCTAGAGGCAGATCTGTTGATTTTTTTTTTCTTATCCATTAAATTGTTGAGAATTAACAAGACTAACTCTGGGATCTGATCACTTCTCCCTGTCCACTATTCCTGGGATATGGATAGCAGCCTCCAGGTACCTTGGGGAGAGATCAAATGAGTATGAAGAAGAGAAATAAGCAATTTTATACTGCAATTAAAAACTGGAAATTTTTCTAAAAAATGAGGTCTCTCAAAATAACTATGTGACAATTTGTGTAAACAATCTTAATGTTATGTTCTATAAAGTTATTTTTATCATTTTATTCAACAAATATTCATTGAGCACGTACTTTGTCCCAAGACTATTCTAGATTGTGTGTATGTGTGTGTGTGTTTGTGTGAATAGATAGCAGTTAACAAAATAGGCATGGTCCATAGCTTCAGAGATCTTAGAAGTAAACACACATAGTGCTATGAAAGGGGAGGAGGGGGGTGACAGATGCTAAAGGAGAATGCCAGGGGGCTCTATTTTAGGATCAGGGTGGGGTCTAGAGAGTCTACCAAAGGAGTGGACCCTTGAGCTGAGACATTACTGGCTGTGCAGAGGCCACAGGAGGAACTCTGTATCTATAGAATAAGCAGAGTCAGGGCGGGATGCCAAGAGGCTGGCTAGATTGGAGGGAGGATATTGGGAGCCGTATGGCCAGGGACTAGTAAAATAGGGGGGATCAGCCAGAGGAGCTGCAGGGAAAGGCCATGGCCCTGAGGGCACCTTGCAGACCAGTCCTGCTTCAAGAGAACTGGGGAGTTGTGGAAGGCTTTTCAGCAGGGGCCACACTTAAAACTTGGTCTGATTTTATGAAGGGGCACTCTAGCTGCTCTATGGCAAATGGATGGGAGAAAAAGTGATTTGGGGATGGGAGGCCCAAGAAACAGATTGTCAATCTTTAGATAAAAAATGAAAAATATGGGATCTTCTTTTGTAAACCTCAGCTGACATGAATCACTACTTATGGTAAACTTCTCTTGCCTTGGGGGAGAAATCTGAGGTGTTCTCTCCTTTATTTATTTATTTATTTATTTATTTTTTTAAACAGAGTCTCACTCTGTCATGCTGGGTAGAGTGCTGTGGTGTAGCTCACAACAACCTCAAACTCCTGGGCTCAAGTGATACTCTTGCCTCAGCCTCACGAGCAGCTGGGACTACAGTTGCCACCACAATGCTGAGCTAGGTTTTCTATTTTTTTTTTTTTTTTAGTAGAGATAGGGTCTTATTCTTGCTCAGGCTGTGTCAAACTCCTGAGCTCAAGCAATCCTCCTGCCTCAGCCTCCCAGAGTGCTAGGATTACAGGTGTGAGCCACTGCACTCAGCCTTCCTCTCCTTTTTCTACAATTACGAGTGCTCCACATACTTTATATCCATAGGATATTATTGGAGTTCCTTCCTTCCCACCCTTTTTCTTTTCATGAAGTAGGAATGAAAATAATTTTATGGTTGGGAGTACCACAACATGAGGAACTGTATTTAAAGGGTTGCAGCGTTAGGAAGGTTGAGAACCAGTGATCTAGAACAACACTGCCAACCAGCACAAACAAAAGAATTCCTTATTTCTGTTATTGAGCTAGCTTTACTTTTACTTAATTACCTCTTTATTTTTCTGCTAGAGGGAAAATTAATTTTGAATGGATAAGAGGGTAGGTTCCATTTGCCCAGAGGTGACTGGATTCCAATCCAGCATGACGTATGTGTGCGCCTGCCTCTTCTAGACAAAGTCCAGAAACTGGTTTGGGGGCCTGCTTGTCCTGAGCTTTCTATAAGGGAACTTTTTATATAGGCCAGCACTGCACTTTTCTTCCTCACCTAGGGAGAAAGAAATGTCTGTGTAAGTTAGGCCCACAGGTGGCATTGAGGGCAGCAGGTATCGCCTCTCCAGGCCTGTTTGTGAAGTGAATGGAAGACTTTCTGGTGTGGAGCTGGACGTCCTGGGCTCCTGGTCTGGGTCTGATTCTTGCTGGTTATGTGTTCTTTAATCTTGTGCCTCCGTTTCCCCACCTATAAAGTGTGGGTGATACTAATACCTAACTACCAAGTTGTGTGGATTCCGTGTCTTTGGTGTTTGTAAGAGCCAAAACAGTGCCTGGCCCATAGTCAGTTATTACTTCTATAATTTCTTAACACTGTAAGTCTCTTCCTCATATGTTTGGCTTAAAAAAGTCTTTCCTTCCCTTTTTCTTCAGCTGTGAAGTAAGGTCAGGCCCAGAGTTCATCACAAGATCTTACAGATTCTACCACAATAACACATTCAAGGCCTACCAGTTTTACTATGGCAGCAACCGGTGCACAGACCCCACCTACACGCTCATCATCCGGGGCAAGATCCGCCTCCGCCAGGCCTCCTGGATCATCCGCGGGGGCACCGAAGCTGACTACCAGCTGCATAATGTTCAGGTCATTGGCCACACGGAGGCAGCAGCCGAGAAGCTCAGCCATCTGGTGAACCGCACCTGCCCAGGTTTCCTGGAAGCTGGGGGCCCTTGGGTGCAGGACATGGCCTATGACCTGTGGCGGGAGGAGAACGGCTGTGAGTGCACCACAGCCGTGAGTTTTGCCATGCACGAGCTGCAGCTCATCCGAGTGGAGAAGCAGCACCCACACCACAGCCCAGACCACCTGGTGGAGGAGCTCTTCCTCGGTGACATCCACACCGATGCCTCCCAGAGGACATTCTACCGGCCGTCCAGCTACCAGCCCCCGTTGCAGAATGCCAAGGTACCTGTTCCTGCCAACTGCCCTCAGAGCCCTGCCTTCTCCTTTTTGGTAAAATGGGTGGCTCTTCATAAAGGTGTGTCACAGGGGGCCATGCGGACTTGTGAAAGGAAGCATCTGCGACCTCGATGGCCAGGCAGAGATAGGGCTGCTGCAAGGTGGGAGGAGATGTGGAAGGCTCGCTGGGGGACACATACTAGACACAGGAGAGCTGGGTCTGCCACCCATCAGCTTTGTGACATAGGACTCCCGTTTTCCTATACCTGAGGCCCCTTCCAGCCTTCACATCCTAAAATGTCCTCTGTGATTCTAAGAGGAAAACATGAAGGAAATGTGGAGACATTACAGCTGCACTCAGAAAAGATAAGGAACAACTGCAGGGGCCCCAGCTCTGGAGGAGGTGGGGCAGGACAGAGAGGAGAAGGGGTTTGCAGGGGCATTAGACGCCACAGAGACCGTCCAATATGGACCACCACATTCAGTCTTCCCAGCGCCCAGTGGAGGATGTAGATTCAGTTTGGTCTGTCTTAGGCAGGGGAGGCGGCTGAGTCTGAGGGGTTACCTCTTCCACCCAGATCACACACTGACTTTTAGCTCCTGCCCGCGAGCCGGAAGCTTTCTCCTCCAGACCCACATTCTTTCCACTTTATTGAGAGAGATGTAAAGTCACTGTGATCAGGCACTGAGGAGGACAGTAAACCATTAAACCTTATAATTTTTTTCCTTGAGTAATAGCCCAGTAATTATATTTGGAATTTGCAAGGCATTTCCTTCCCCCAAGCTCAGAGTATGTGTCCACATGTAACTCAGTCATTACATCTTCTCCACCACAGAGGCCTGTGAGGCTGGACAGGCGGTGGGGACAGTGAGAGCTTCTGGTCCTCCCAGGGCATGGAGCAGGCAGCCCTGTCTGCTGTGGGTGGTCAGGGAGGGAGGGCTCCCAGCTGTGCTGGTGGCCATGTGAACTCTGGAGCAGAGACCTTCTATCTGCAGAGTCCCGTTTGACTTTGTTGGGTTTCTTCTCTGTTCCTTTCCTCTGAGATATCACAGGGTCCTTCCTGTGCCTGAGGCTACTCACCGTCCGTTGTTGCCCTTCTTAGTGGGTGCTGTTGTGAGCCTCTATGTGATGAAAGTAGCCCCTACCAGAACTATCTGCTGAGGTAGCCCACCTGGTGGGGCCTGTTCCTCTGGCTGCACCTCATCGGGGTGTGTCTCAGGGGTGTGTCCCAGGCGTTAGCGGCAGCCCACAGGCACTGGGGTCCTCGGTCCTGCACTCCCTGCCCTGCTGCTGTGCTTAGGCAGCTTGCTAGTGGGGCCCAGGATGCCAGCCGGGCTCTGTTACCATACAGAGTGGGAATCAGGCCCCTGCTTTTCTGCCTCCTAAGTTTCAGGTGCACTGAAAGTCATGAGGAGTCAGGCCAGGGAGGGAGGGGCAGCCCTTAACGTGGGTTCACTGTGGCAGTGGGCATTCACTGTGGGTCCCAGAGGGCGACACGGAACGAGGCCCACACCTTTGCCCCTTGTTGAGTCTTCAGCAAAGGCATGTCCCTGGGCCACACCCGGGTGAGGGAGCGGTTTCTGGGCCAGGCTCAGTGGGTCCTTGGGAAAATGAAAAGGTAGGAGGCCTGGGCTTCCAGTGATGTTTCCAGTTGGTAGCACTACTCAGAGGCAGTGCCAAGCACTGTAGCCACAGAGCACTTGTCTTGGAATCTCTGGTTTTGAGCAGGGGAGAGGGGATTTTTGTGCCTGCATTTGGTGTTCTCTGAGTATAGTCCTGCCAAGTTGAAGATCTCCAGAAACAAGAGATATGTACAGATGTCATGAATAAAAAAAAGGATAATCCAGAAACCTCACTTTAGCCAAAGTGTCCCACCCCAAATCTTTTGAAGATCTGAGAAGCAGGCAGAGCCTTTTTGTCCTCTGCTCACCCTCCAGCAGAGTCGCTCATGAGCAGCACAGCACCAGAGGGGAGGCAGTGAGGGAGGCCAGGCAGTGTGGGGAGGGGAGGCCAGGAGGGAGGTCAGGCAGTGTGCTGAGGGTAGGCTGGGAGGGAGGACAGGCATTGTGCAGAGGGTAGGCTGGGAGGGAGGACAGGCATTGTGCAGAAGAGAGGTGGGGAGGGAGTCCAGGCAATGTGTAGAGAGGAGGTGGGGAGGGAGGGCAGGCCATGTGCAGAGGGGAGGCAGTGAGGAAGGCCAACCAGGCAGTGTGGGTAGGGGAGGCAGTGAGGAGCCCAGGCACTGTGCTAGGGGAAGCTGGGAGGAAGGCCAGCCAGGCAGTGTGCAGAGGGGAGGTGGGGAGGAAGGCCAGGCAGTGTGCAGAGGGGAGGTGGGGAGGGAGGCCAGGCAGTGTGCAGAGGGGAGGTGGGGAGGG